AAACAAATCTGCTCATTTCTTTGATTTTTGCATTTTTTTTTTTTATTTACGAGACGTTATAAATCGGCCTTAAACATATTGAAATATATCTGCTAAAGAGCACAAACAAGTCGCATCTTTAAAAATTCTCATCACAAATTTCACTTTTAACAAATTAGAGAAAATGTTCCTGCATATTGTATTAATAGCTTGAGCTATAGCCCTCCTATATAAGTATAGGATCAAGTCCAATTCTACGAAGTGATCTTTGAATGAGTACAGTATGATTGAGTGCAGTATGAATGAGTGCAGTATGAGTGCGTGCAGTATGAATGAGTGCAGTATGAGTGCGTGCAGTATGAATGAGTGCAGTATGAATGAGTACAGTATGAATGAGTGCAGTATGAGTGCGTGCAGTATGAATGAGTGCAGTATGAATGAGTGCAGTATGAATGAGTGCAGTATGAATGAGTACAGTATGAATGAGTGCAGTATGAGTTCGTGCAGTATGAATGAGTACAGTATGAATGAGTACAGTATGAATGAGTACAGTATGAATGAGTACAGTATGAATGAGTACAGTATGAATGAGTGCAGTATGAATGAGTGCAGTATGAATGAGTGCAGTATGAATGAGTACAGTATGAATGAATGCAGTATGAGTTCGTGCAGTATGAGTGCGTGCAGTATGAATGAGTGCAGTATGAATGAGTGCAGTATGAGTTCGTGCAGTATGAATGAGTACAGTATGAATGAGTACAGTATGAATGAGTACAGTATGAATGAATGCAGTATGAGTTCGTGCAGTATGAGTTCGTGCAGTATGAGTGCGTGCAGTATGAATGAGTACAGTATGAATGAGTGCAGTATGAGTTCGTGCAGTATGAATGAGTACAGTATGAATGAGTACAGTATGAATGAGTACAGTATGAATGAGTACAGTATGAATGAGTACAGTATGAATGAGTGCAGTATGAATGAGTGCAGTATGAATGAGTGCAGTATGAGTGCGTGCAGTATGAGTGCGTGCAGTATGAATGAGTGCAGTATGAATACGTAAACTGGCAGGTGTCTTCGCGGTCCTTCCCCGCAGTCAACAACAACCGTCACATGGCCGCTGACAGACGGGAGATAGCGCCGTGGCCAAAATAAGTTTTTGGCTAGTAACAGCCGGTTGGAGTCGGTCGGCATACCTTCCTCATTCATTCAATTCGGAGAGTTAAAATAGTGATACAAATCTTTCTCTATCTCTCTCAATCCAGAGAGTTCTTTCCTTCAATAATTTGTTCAATACAGAGTCTAAACAGAGTAGAGATTCCTATGACCGACTACCTGTATGCAATGGATGCTGCTAATCTCTTTTTAAGGGACTATCTCATTTGAGGATTAATTGTTTCAGGTCATTTTCAATTGAACCGCTGAGGTGCAAGCGGATTGGTCTATAAAAACGTGGTATGATTTAAACTCTATTCTTTGCACGCGTACATCAACAAGTGGATAATTACAGAAAACATCATATAATATCCTACTATCGCATATAAGCAGCAACACATACTTATTCGAGCTATATATATAGCGATGATAGAATTTAAACGTAAAAAAAATCGTTTCCAATTGTGAAAGTATTTTTACCTTGTGTGTTTATTTTGAAGCGGATAAATATTTTAAAAGTATATTCAGGAACTGACCTCCTAAATCTATTAGGTTTTTAATACAAATTTCCTTTAGTCTTAACATTGTTCTTATGATATATAGGGTGTCCAAGAGGTACTTTACAACCCAGCTATCAAGGACAAGGACAGTATTATTCTTTATATCACAATAGTCTGTCGCCATAAAGTTTTGTGCCACTTTCATATTGATGGGCGGGAGAGCGTTTCTTTTCCAAATTGTCTTCTAAAGTGTCTCTGGACCTCAACCTGAACCTGATAAATTTCTGTGTTATCTGAAAAAATATATAATATAACTTTTAGAGTTGCATTCGATTGCAACTCATGTTATTGCGCGTTGAAATACAATGTAACTTTTGGGATACTCTGTAGAATTTTTATTCGCCCCCTTCTATCTCTATTGATTTGATCGATATTGGGTGACCTACAAATCCTTAGCACAAGTCTTGAACAAATCGTTCCTTTTCGAATACACGTTGTTACATGACAAAATTAACTCAATTACACAGGTCCTGACTATACCCGTCATGCTGTGTAATGTCGTTTTTTTCTGAATCTTTCCTTTATTGTGACTTTGAAATCATCAATGCCGGTACAGGTTCACTGATACAATTCAATACATTTTTAATTTTAATAATATAAAAATATATAACTTTACTGTCCATACGATCCGAAATATTGTCATAATTCCAGTTTCTAAATATCACCTATCTGATAGGAAAGCCTTTCAAGACGTCCACTAATGCTCACAGACACTAGCTGTAGAAGTCATCATTTTTTTGCCCAGTAGATTTCTAGCGGTTGGTGGAGGTAGGAATGATTATTAAAGGCTTTTACCACTTTTAGATTATAAAATTTGCCGTAGATTTTGTTTTAATTTATATAAAACATCAAATAAAAGCGTTATTAATACGTTTCTTTATTAATATAGCAAATTTTCGGACATTTATTGTCCTTCTACACAGCCATAGCTATAAAGTTGAAGAAATAAAGAGGATATATAAATACTCCAAATTATTTACATGCACATTTTTTTAGAAACCAATAAAATAAATATTAACATTTTATAAAAACAATAAGACATCAGCATATACACTGCGTGACATTGAAAATGGAACACCAAGAAATAGTGGCCAGAAAATTATGCAAATTTCAGGGTAGACGCGCCTAACCGAGTTATGCAAATGATGTAAAATGCGCATCTCTCGTGCGCACATGGAGTAAGATATAAGGGAAGGAACTTGCAGAAAGGACAGTATTCGTGTCGTTATTTCTTCAAGGAAAATCATTGTAGAAATTTTGTTCTTGTGTCAAAAGACACGTGTAATAACAGAGAATGCCAGGTCATCGTAAACGGAGGCAGTTCAAGCAGACAGACGCTTTTACGAGGGGCATGGTGATCGGACTGAAAAGGGCAGGTTGGTCCATACGTCAAATCGCAGCTGATACACACCTTGGTGCGTCCACGGTGCACCGACTGTGGATAAGATGGTTGGAACAAGGAAATGTGGCAATTTATAGGAATGTCGGTGCAACCAGAGTGACGTCAGCACGTGTGGATCGGCGTATCCTTCGACAAGCAGTGGCGGCCCCACAAGCCACTTGTACCGCCATCCTGCAACATGTGCAAGACACCCTAGATCATTCCATCTTGACCAGAACCATTTCCCGTCGATTGGTTGCTAATGGCTTGCACTCATGCCGTCCGCTAAGAAGACTGCCATTGACCCCACCGAATAGGCGCCAACGTTTGGAATGGTGCCGGGCTAGATCGACGTGGATGACGGAATGGCACAGGGTCGTGTTCTCAGATGAGTCGCGTTTCTGCTTGTCCAGTGATAGTCGCCGTGTACGCGTGTGGCGTCGACGTGGAGAAAGGTCCAATCCGGCAGCAATTGTGGAACGCCCCACCGTGCGACAACGTGGAATCATGGTTTGGGGCGCAATCGCGTATGATTCCAGGTCACCTTTACTTCGTATTCAGGGCACTATGACGGCCCAACGATACGTTGATGATGTGCTGCGACTGGTGACACTCCCCTACCTTCAGGGGGTACCCAATGCCCTTTATCAGCAGGATATCGCCCGACCGCACACTGCTCGCATTAGCCAACAAGCTCTGCAAGATGTACAGATGCTTCCCTGGCCACCGTACTCTCCTGATCTCTCACCAATCGAGCACGTCTGGGACATCATTGGACGCCGTTTGCATGCCTTGCCACAGCCGCGTTCAGAAGACGAACTGTGGCAAATGGTTGAGAGGGAATGGAGAGCCATCCCTCAGGACGCCATCCGTACTCTGATTGACTCTCTACCTAGACGTGTTGCTGCGTGCATCGCCGTCCGCGGTGGTCCTACTTGCTACTAAGCCGACGCCGTTCTCGCTCTGTATTATGACTATCATTTTGAAATAAAGATCACTTATTGTTCGTCCCTGTCTCTCCCTGTCTGCCGAGTTTAATCACTTTCTGGCCACTATTTCTTGGTGTTCCATTTTCAATGTCACGCAGTGTACAAAATAAAAATGAAAAAACGGCATAATATAAACAAGTATTCACACACAAACGCACATATATACATTTTTATAAAACTACAATTATAATCTGGTTAAAATTCCACCCACACAAAACGAACACATCAAATAAAAACTATCACTAAAAATAATGAAATCAATGTACATATCTAAAATGAAACTGGGGTTATGTGCCTGAAAGGCAATCTGGAGATATCGTTAAGATAGGGGTTGCCTGACCGGCATTCATATTTCTGTGAAAAATAGACACTTCGGCCAGTTAGTGTTTGTTTTTTTTTTTTTTTCTCAACGTTTCGACAAAAATATTTTGACTTCGTCAGGAGAAGTAAATAAAAATAAAGCATTTGGCAAGGCGTTAAAAATTGTTCTGAGGTTGCAAGGGCGTTCTCACGTGATTTTTCGAATTTAGTACAACATCTAAAGCACGAGTTAAAAACAAATATTAGACTCGTCAAAGACTATGATCTTTGAGAGATAAATAAATAAATATATATAATAATAAAATTATAATCTAAAATAAATAAATAAAGTAATATAATGATAATAATCGCAAGTAAGGGCAGTAGAAATTGTTTTATTTTTAAAAGAATATTACGCGTCCAAAATAGTTTTGTAATTTGATAACAGATGGCGCGCTAGTGCATCGAAATATAATTGTTCGAATAAAAGACACAAATTGATATTTGCGGAAGAGCGATTGCTCGAAGCTTATTATATATTTATAATTATATGTAATTCTGCTGTCCTAAAAGCTTATGTCCATAGTTCATCTAAAATACCCATTCGAAGAGTCAAGCATCATAAACAACTTTAGAGAAGTACACTTCAGCTTAGGTCGCGCTTATGATGCATTTTTTTTTTCTAGCTTTTAAAAAAAAAAAATTTAGAATTTCCTCCTTACTGGACGCGAGTGACACAACTCAAGTTGATGAAGTAATTAATTTACTAAAAGACGAGGTGTTTCACTCGTGTCTACAAACCATTCCCTCTAAACCTGCCGCCAATAATTTTTTTTTAAGAAACCCACTTGGTGGAAACCTGAACTAAATCCGCTCCAAAAGGTTACTCAAAAATCTGAACGGGCCTGGAGAAAAGCTCGTGGGCCTGTTAGAAGCGTGTTGAAAATATTCTATAAGAAATTATATAATAGATTTCGCACCTCTATCAGACACGCGAAGTCTGCTGAATGGAGAAGGATCTGTTCGCTTTGTGAGGTTAGCCCCTGGGGCGGCGTTTATAAATTTATTAAAGGCTCCACTAAGAGGAAGCCTCTTTCCTCTCTCCTGGTTGGCGATGATCTCACTGACAGTCCGCGGGACACTCTAGAACACGTATTAAAACATTACTTCGGCCGTGTCCCGCCCGATATAACAGTAGAGCATGTTAACTTACATAAAGCCGTGCAGTCCACCTCTGATAACGACCCACCATTCTCAGAAATAGAACTGCTACTGGCTGCGGATAAGGTTAGCCTTACTTCTGCTCCTGGCAGTGATGGTATGCCACCTCTTCTCATTGTTAAATTAATTAAAAAACTCCCGACGTTTTTTTTTTAAGATCTTTAATAGGTGCTTTGAAACTGGACATTTTCCAACTCCTTGGAAACTGGGTGATGTCATACTCATTCCCAAAAAAGGTGGTGAGGACTTTCTCGCGTCTCATCGGCCCATCACGATGCTGCCTGGCTTAGGTAAAATTCTAGAGCGTCTAATCCTGGCCAGGCTCTCGTGGCGAGCTGAGAGAATGTGTAAAGCCCAACCAAACCAGTTCGGTTTCAGGCCCTGCAGATCTACTGTCGCCGCACTTCTAAATTTAAAAAATAATCTTTCCCGGTCGCTTCAGCATAGAAAATCTTCTATTCTTCTTTCCTTTGATGTGAAAGGCGCTTTTGACAATGTGCTACACTCCAGCATATTGCGAGCTCTGTGTATGAATGATTGTCCAGAAAACCTGTTTGTCCTGATTCGCTCCTTCCTCAATAACCGTGTTGTCAGACTGTCTATGAATGGTTGCACGGTCACGAGGCAGGTTTCCAAAGGCTGCCCGCAGGGCTCAGTTCTTGGGCCGTTTCTTTGGAACCTTGTCTTTGACGAGCTCCTCACGCTCAACTTTAAAAAATGTGTACACCCGCAGGCCTACGCCGACGATCTTGTTATGGTGGTGTCGGGCCAAGTTACTAATCAACTTGGAGCGGCGCAACTTGCCATTAACGAGATCACGAGGTGGTGTGGCCTGCATAAACTGGAACTCAGCGTGAGGAAGTGTCAGGCCATGCTCCTTCTAAGACGTACTGGCAGACTACTAAAGCCTAGCTGCGATCTAACCATTAATGGTCAACCCATTCAATGGAGCAACTCAATCAAAGTGCTGGGCGTAAGGTTTGATCAGCGTCTCACCTTCCACCAGCACGTGGTTGAGGTTTGCACCAGAGTCCGCGGATTTCTCCCGCGTTTGACAGCAGCCGCCAACTCCAATTTTGGCTTTGGTTTCCGTGCCCTGAGGATGCTCTATCTCCAGGTCGTGGTCCCAGCCATCTCTTACGCTTCTCCTGTGTGGTTTTCTAATCTTAAACAACGCTCCTTAAACACTCTCTTAAGCGCGCAGCGCCCGTTCCTCATCAGGACATGCCGCGCGTTTAAAACAACTGCCAATAGCTCTCTCATCTCTCTTTCACGTGTTCTCCCTCTCGATCTGGATGTCGGCGCCAAGGCGGAATTGTATTTTAAAAAGCACAGTTTTGTTGACGCTGATTTTCCAGTCGAGCCTCCCCCCCTGCCCTCACCCACTTCCCTATCCTCCCTATTACTCCGCTCCCATTAATATTCCTGATCTTTCGGCTGACGTCACCTACTACACAGATGGTTCCAAGACGAAAACTGGAGTTGGCACAGGCCTACTTAGAGTGTGTGCGAATGGCTCCATGAATGAACTGCGTGAAAGCTTTGTCCTGTCCTCGTACTGTTCTGTCTTCCAAGCGGAGGCACTTGGCTTGATTAAAGCACTTGAGGACGCCTCAAAGCTTCCCGACAATTACACCATTGAAATTCTCCTGGATAACCTCTCAGTTGTGAAATCTGTTCTAAACTCCAGAACTGGCAACCTCCTGGTCAACAGAGCCTTGTTGCTGATTTCACAACTGAACCGCAATGGGAACAGATGTACCATACAATGGATCAAAGGCCACAGAGGGATTTTTGGTAATGAGGTAGCTGATGTGCTCGCGAAACGCGGGGCGGAATCTGATCTCCCGAGCTGCTATCGCCTCGCACCGCTGTCGAAACTTAAATCGACAATCTACAAGCGGGCGTGGGCAGCTTGGCAGGCCAGGTTCAGCTCCGCCGAGCGCACAATCTTCACCCGCTTTGGCCTCTCTCCCATGAGTCTCTTGGACAAAAAACATGCGTACATCGTTCCTAGTGTACACGCCGTGATTGGCCTGCTGACTGGACACACATGGACAGACAGCTTTGCTCACAGACTTGGACATATTGATGATCCTATCTGCCCTTTCTGTGACTCTGGAGAGGAAGAAACTCGGGAACATATCATGCTCGAGTGTGACAGTCTGGGCTCCCTCAGAACTCTCTATTTTTTATAGCGGGGAGGGAACTCGGTTACCCGCCGAGGGCGCTCCGCGACTTCACCCACAATTGTTTAACCTGGCGAGCCTGTATCGATTTTCTCCTGGCTTGCGGCAGGCTGAGACCGCGGATCCGAGAGGTGGAATCAGAGGAGGTTCCCGACTCTAATTCCATCTAAACTTTACATCAGTGTTTTACCTGCATATGCGTGTATCACTAATTTTGTATGCGATGTCAAACTTTTAATTTGCCAGCTGGCTTGTGGACGGGATTTCACCAAGCGCCGTCTCTAATCACCCAAGGGTTAGAGGGCCGCGGTTGAAATTGTACGCCGCACGCTGATTGGTCGATTAATCGCGCGACGTCACAACCGGGGTTTTGTGATTTGACGGCCGCTCATTTTCATTGGTTGGCAAAAGATGCGATTTAGTACTTCCAGATTTTGTACTCTGAAATTACTTTCTCCTCAAAAGAAAAAAAATTTTCTGGCTCCTTTGATAAGGTCCTTTTTTTTGCGCTTGTTCTACACCAACATCCCCAGGCGCTGTGTTTTCTTCTCTTCATCACTTTTTTTTTTCTATCCTGTCCTCTTCTAAATCTTTTTTCTTTCTTTTAATTCTTTATATTATTTTTATTCTTAATATTATTATTGAAATATTTTATTTTTTATTTTTATTTTAATTATTATTTTTTGTTTTTATTAATATTATTATTTTCTTTTATTTTTTTATTTTTTTTTTATTTTACTTATCTCCTAGATTTATTTATTCAATTTTGCTATTTTTTTATTTTTATTATTTTATTATTATTAGTATTTCTTTTCTTTTTTTTTTTAATTCACCTCATTCATTTTTATTTATATTTTTATTTTATTTTTATTTTTTCTTTCTTCTCTTCCGCTCCCTTTTCACTGTTTTTCACAATTGCCCACCTTTCTTAACTTGAAACCTCTTCCTCTCTTTCCCACTGACCCAGGGATACTCACCTATGTTCTTAGAGCATTAGCACGCGTCACACTCTCCAGGGGCGCCTTGGGGGCGCCGCGCGTCTCGTCGCGGATGGGGCTGGAGATGCGTTTCGCACCGCCCCTGAGCGCGTTACGTTGGGTGGCGGGCTTGGTGATTCCTTGGGTGTTGTCGCGGGGGATATTGCGATGTTGCTGTATCTCCCCAGGTTACCTGCACCCTTTGCCGTGGTCAGTCTGATTCATTTCAGCCAGTAGTAGAGCTAGAAGGCCATCCCATTTGGTCAATTAGCTATAACCATTGTCATGCAATATAACAGCGGTATGGTAGATTAAACTGGCGAAACCGCTGGGAGGGTTCACCACTGATGAGCCAGGCCCTCCCTTTAATTTTTCCATTGCAGTAAGGGCAGTAGAAATTGTTTTATTTTAAAAAGAATGTTACGCTTCTAAAATAGTTTTGTAATTTGATAACAGATGGCGCGCTAGTGCATCGAAATATTATCTATATACAAATAAAATCTCTAAAGTTCTGGAGGAATGTGAGAAATGGCTTAGTGAAAGATCACATCTTCCAGAAAGGGAAAATCCTCACCACGGGGCGGAGGATGACTATAAACCAGGAGGTAACCGAGCCGATATCAGTCTCCAACTCCATCCTGATATGAAGGAGGACACACACTTGTCCTTGAAGTTTGAAACAGCTTCTAAACTCGGATAAACCTACTACTAGGTCAACGACATATAGACGCGGAAGTCAAGAAGGACACCATCGCATTATTTTCCCACGAGAACGTCTTACCACCAGATCGATCATCTTGAAAGAGCCAGACTGAGGAGCTACATCAGTCTTAGAACTAATTAACATGTGGTATAAATAAGAGCCTTCAAAAAAATAACATTTCATCATCAAGGCTAATTATTTGGTTTTACTTTTATGAAAGGCAAATTTTTAAATATATTAACAAAAAGAACCAAACTCTAACTTTTAGAATCATAACAAAAACTACCAGTAATCACAAAATTTAGGTTGAAATTAACGTAACGATAACTAACAAAACCTAATTAGCAATTATCAAATCACCCCGTGTAAATTCTCTAATTGGATTTTCCTAATTATTCCAGCAGCACAGCGTGAAAGCCATTGTTAATGAGCTTGAATTTCGGCTGGACCTTCCTGCCGCTTCACTCAATGGTCCCGTTCGGTCTTGAAGATACAATTCATCTAAATCATTATCATTAACAGGATCTTCTAATATACAAATTATATAATAGTTTAATGTAGAGGTTAGATTCTATTCAATAATATGAGACCCCTTAAATGATAAAAGATTTTTCACAATGAATATATATGTACTTTTTTTAAATGCAATTTTCAATAGTTAATCGCTCTTCTTCAGGCAAAGATATCGACTTACCGTTTGCTACGTTCGTACACTTGCAGAGAGTCATCTAGCTAAGTCCGTAAAAGCGAGGTTCTCGCTTGAAAACTTTCATTTAAATTTTTTTAAATACGTTCCCTTCTCTTACGATTTTTTTTTTTTTTTATTATTATTATCTGACTCTCACGTGGGCTACGCTCCTGGACGCGGAGCACCTGAGGGCCTTCTTCCAGCGTCTCCTGCAGGAAAACGCCAGCTCTAGCTATTATGTGGAGCACGAGGCAGAGACCATCGTCCTGCAGGGATCGGCGACCCCCATTACCCACCTCACAAGCCAGAGAACACTGGATTCAGCACGGCTGCAGGAGCATCCTGTTACCGAGCTAGCCGCGCAGTGTAACCCCACCGTGTGCCCCATTCCCTGGGGCGACCTGCGTCACAACTGCTTCTTGGGGCACGACGCAGACATCGTCTTAAGGCTTACCTTTAACGATCTCCCCCATCTTGGCAATCCTGCCTCGAGGCGTGCGACCGAGGCGTGCGACGGTTCGCTAATCCACAGATACTGGAGTTGCCGAGCCGTGCGACCCCTGCTCCGGGAGGTATTCGCCTCCTGCGAAGTGCCCCTGGATCTACAGGCTTGGTTATTCGGCGTCGGCCTCCATCCCGAGGCAATTCAAGTGCAGTCTACAAGTACCATCTTGGTCTTGAGTTGGGTAATGCCAGCCATCACCTCGACCTGCCCACTCTGTGGGAAAGAACTCTCGCAGTCCATCGATGGCGGAGTCTTTCCCGCGGTGGGTGCTACCAATGAAGACCTTGTCTATATTTTATATATGTATATGTAATATTGTTGCAATGTGACGACGTATGGATGAACTGGCAGTCGTGTACGTGAGGCGAGTGTTGATGATCTTCCCACACGCGGACAACAAGAAGCAGAGGCAATTATTTTATATATTTATATATATTTTAGCCATATATTTATATTTATTTTAGCCATATATTTATCATTATTTAGTCTTATTTATTCAATTTCGTACTTAACCTTATATAATCTTATATGAACGATATAATAAAGTAGCTTCTATCTCAATCTCTCTCTCAATTCTTGACTCCCCAAATTATACCCCTCTAAGCGATATGGAGACTACGGGCAACTTGAGAATAAGCACTACAATAGTTGTATCAGTCTGATAGGTTATAAAAGGAATTATAGGGGGTCGGTGGAAGGCTGGTTAAACCGTTTGGTTTTCGACCACTACGACCCGGGTTCGATTCCCGCATTGGACACTTTTTTCTGTTAAAAAAAATGCTCCAATGGCCCCCGATTCTTGCAAAAGTCCAACCCCACCAGCGAGTGCAAGTAACCAAACGGGGCTCTGGCACATTTGTAAGTGCAAAGTCGAACTGCTTTTCACATGTGTAGACATGTGGTGCGCTTACAGTAAAAGCAGTCGCTAACTACCCTCCTTGATTATCATGGCCTGTACCACGTGTACTAGGGATAAGCAAAATAATAATAATAATAATAATAAAATAAAAGGAACTATAAATAAAAAGATAGATTGGCGATGTTACTGAAAGAGTTCACCACTGATTTACAAGACCCTCCCGATATTTTTTAATCTTTCGTTTCAGCAGTTGTAGAATTTTTCTGTTGTAAAAGTCTTCTTGTTTGCTCATCTCAGAAGTAGAATGTTTTTGTCATCAAGAATTAGAGCACGCCTCACACAGTAGTAGGCCGACTTAGCTCCCATCTAAAATGGCTTCCTATAACATGAGAAATCAACTCTTCATGTGTAGCCTTCTAACCTAGAGTACGGAGGCGTTTGGCTCATCCTGTGTCTTTGAATCAGGGGCTCTTACAGGATCCTTTCGCCAGCCGTGCCAACCCAGGTCTTTTGGCGAGTTGGTTACTGCTTTCCTTTTTCATCTTTCATCCGTACTTAAGCCCGGCAAAAGTAGAGCTTTTTTATAAAAGTAAAATAAAACAAAGCGAATGATGAAACTGATAATATTTTGATTGAAAGCTGGCGCCATCTGCCAAGGGTCAAATATCGAGAAGGATGAAATTAAAAATCATGCTGAAGCAAATATCTGAAGTTTTATTAATCTATATTTTATTTGAAGGCCTATTTCAATTGTTGCGACCACCTTAGAAAAACTGTCTTCGGGTACTAAGAAGAATATACTCAATCTTGGCAATACAACTGCCATGTCGAATGGAAGAATCGTCATTACATTTGGAGAGTTGGAGCTTCAGTAAATATTGATGTTAAATACACCGTCTAGAAAAACACTGTTATTTATTGTTGATATTTTTATTATATAAATATACACTATATTCACGCAGCATGCATCACAAGGACAACAACTAAAAAGAAACAGAATTGGTCAAACACATTTAAATATTCCCAGTTGGAAAATTGGATATTTTCAATATTATCATTTTCTATTTTTACTTAATAAATGTAATAATTAGATAATAAAAGGCGTAAAGCCTCGATAAAGGTTGGCGTTCAGCCAGCCGAAATATTGGCAAAATAAATATTTTATTAAATCCAATATATGCCTTTTATTATCTAATGAATTAAGTATGGATTGCTCTATTTTCAAAAAAAAAATGTAATAATTATTGTGTTAAGCGTGTTAAATGATTTCTGAGATTTTATTACCGCTCCTTACATACTGAACGATGATATTTTTCTGAACATGAAAATATATATAAGAGAAAAGAGATAGAAAATAAAATACACTATATAAAATTTTGAAATCTTTCTAGTTAGTCAGTTGTTCCCATTCTATTAGGCTGGTGGGGAGGAATGGTATTGTAATATACCTAATAATAATATTATAATCTACTCTGTTTAATTAATTTATTTTTGATTGTTTGGATTTGGCAGCACTGTAATTGTTGTTGTTGCTATGAATCTATTAAAAAAGTGCATGTTTGACATTAGAAAGAAATTTAATTATTATTTGTTTCTTAATTTGGTAAAGCATATTTATTTATTTATTTAATCTCTCGAAGGAACATCGCAAAATGGCGCAGCCGACAGGATCGATCATCCTGCATTTTAAGAATAAAAAGGTAATTGGCTATAGCTTTAACCCTGATGCTAATGTTCTATCTATCCCTGAAGAATTTCAATTGCCCATTTATCACGAGCTCGTGTTTAAATGTGGAAAGAATCTAACTTCTTACTATTTAGAAAATGTGTGTGATTTGTTAAAGTTCCATCAAAAATAATTGAAATATACAAAATTCGATCATTTGAAGATTTACAAATTTGCATAATGGATGAGGAGGAATTAGATGCAAAATCTCTATTAACAGAAGACACTTTTAGCGATTTGATAACTACTGTAGCAGAACAACAAAAACTAGTTAATTCTTTAGTTCAAATTTTTTTTTTAAAGTTTAAACTATCACGAATATGCACCAAGACAGGGCGAAATGAAAGCACCTGATATATATAATTAAAATTTGTTTATTAATTTAATAAAGTATATTTATTCATTTAATCGAAGAGGAACATCACAGGTATAAATCGTCGATTTTCGACTGCCACACCCGGTATCGAATCTCGAATTAGGCACTTTTTTTCTGAAGAAAAAATTACTTCAATGGCCTCAATTATTGCAAAATTTCAACCCCACCAGTGAGTGCAAGTAACCAAATGAGGCACTGGCAGACTTGTAAATGCGACAGTCGAACTACTTTCTATGTGTATAGATATGTAGTGCACTTGCTTAGTCACTAGCTACCCACAAAGATTGCCATGGCCTGTATCAGGTATACTAGGGATAATAATAAAAGGTTATCCATTTCCATATATATATCTATATATATATATATAAATGAATGTTTGTATGTTTGTTTGTATGTCCGGTATACAAATTCGCAGTAGTTCACTAATTCAAACCAAAATTTCCATACATAGGTAAAAAAAAAATACGGGGAAGACGATAGGCTATTTTAAAAAATATATAAATCAATTATTAAAACTATATATTCAAATTATTCTACTTAGCTCACGAACAGCGCCCTCTATCAAAGATTAGATCAAATTATGCTGATGCAAACAAATAGATAATGCTAATAACAAACAATTATTTTAAAAAATATTATCAAAATATATATCACTCGGGTAGATATGCACACGGGTCAATCCCGGGGCGAAGCCCGGGTCACCCGTCTAGTTTTAAATAAAAATTATGTTACAGAAACTGCAATACAATAACTTCTGTCCCCTAAGCATTATAAAACACGCTTATTTACTCTTTTATTACTTTTTTCATATTCAATAGAATTCATGCTAGTTACTTCCACCATCGGAGGATAATAATGGCGTTCTGTGGTAGAATTTCCAATCGTTATAGACGTACAATGATGAGAACTGTTAAAATCAAATAAACTCTATCCCGAGAGATCCCATATCCTTCCTTATATCTATAAAAATGAAATCTAAAATCGATGTTAGTTATCGCGTTGCGCAAAATCTACAGAATCAATCATTATGAAATTTCGCATGTAGGTAGCTGATGATTTCGTTTAACATATAGGCTATTCCAAAAACTAAAAAGGTTAATGTGCTTTTTTTTAATGTAAAACCAAAAAGCGTTAGTTCCAGCCTTTACCGCTTGGGCGCAGCACTGGTCGCGACGATAAATGAATTTGATTGGTTAATAATTTGACACGTTGTTTGTGTACACGATGAATTTTAGTTTGTTTACACGATGAATATTTTTAAAAGGTAAGATTATATATATATATATATGTTTAAACTCTTTGGAGATAATAGTAATCAATCGTTATCAAATTTATACGCCCCCGGAACCTAAGTTAATTAAAACTGTATTGTGAAATTTCGCCCGTAGGTAGCTGAAGTTTTGGTTTAGCATTTAGGCTAAAAGTGCAAAAATTGCATTTCGAATAACTTTTTTTTTTTACATTTTTAGAAAGTAAGATTTTATTTAGTTTCTTAGTAATATTAGTTATTTAGTAATATTTTTCAAATTAAATTAATTGGAAATATTATTTATTTCGTAACTTATTCATATCTTTTTGTGGCGAAGCAATTTTTGCTTTGTTTAATTTTAATTAGTGTAAATATAACGATCTACATTTTTTAAGCTAAGGTTTGCTATTTGATTCTTATAAGGGATATTCCTATTTTA